GTTGATTTAAAATGACAAACTTGGGCCAGGGAATTAGCTCAGTGGTGCCGCCTCCTGCCTCGCAAGCGCAAGGTCCTGAGTTTGATCCCAGGTACCAAATGAAAACAAAAACAAATAAACAAAAAAAACCCCCAAAACCGACAACCTTGAAGGAGGGACAATCAAATATCTATTAACAGGAAATTGATTAAATCATGGGGCATGGAAACATGAAAAGAATGAGGTTAATTTCCGTGAACTGATCATTTCTAAGAGATATTAAGAATACAATGTATATAAGAGATAATACTCCCATTTATATAAGAAAATGTATGTTTAAACCATTTACATTAAATATACTTATTTAGGGCTTAACTTTACCATTTCTATTTTGCTTTGTTTTTCATTTTTTCATTTCTCTTTTCTTGTGGGTTATTTGAACATTTTTCTAGGGTTTTATTTTGATTTATTTGTAATGTTCTAGAGTATTATTTTGTATAGTCTTCTTAGTGTTTGTGTATGTGTGTGTTTGAGAGAGAGAGAAAGAGAGATTTATCATAATCTATTGGTATCAGTCAGACTTTTCTAATTTTAGTGAAGTATGGAAATATTACTCCCATTTGGATCCCTTTATCCTTCCAATCATCATACATAATTCAGAAAACTTAGACAGAGGAAGAAGTCTCTGTATTTACCCATATTTTTTCTCCAATGTTATTTCTTCCTGATGGTTTAAGATTATCATTTCTTAGGGCCGGGATTTAGCGCAGTGGTTTTGCCGCCTACTGCGCAAGCGCAAGGACCTGAGTTCGATCCCCGGTACCAAAAATATAAAAGAAAATAAGAGATTATCATTTCCTTTCTTCTGGAGAACTTCTTTAAGCCATTTTTAAAGAGGAGATTTGCTAGAGACAAATTCAGATTTCTTTTATCTCAGAACTTATTTCCCTTTAATTCCTGAAATACAGTTTTATCAGATACTGAATTTGCAGTTGACATTTCTTTTCTTTCAGCACTTGAAAAATATGTCCATATTCTTCTGGTCTCTGTTGGTTCACATGAGAAATATGCTGCCATTCAAATTATTGTCTCCCAATAGGTAATGTATTGTTTCTTTCTGGCTGCTTTCAGGATGTTTTCTTTGATTTTAGTTTTTAGAAGTTTAATTCTATTGTGTTTGACATGGATTTCTTTGGGTTTATCCTAATAAGATTCATTCAGCTTTTTGGGTCTAAATTTATATCTTTTGCAAAACTTGGGAACATTTCAGTTCTTTGAGTGGTCTTTGAATTTCAAACTTTTTCTCTACTCCATCTAGGACTCCAAAGCTGCAAGTGTTGAATCTTTCATTATTGTCCCGTAGGCTCTTGAGACTCTGTTTATTTTCAGTTTGTTTTATCCCTGTTGTTAGAGTAAGTAAATTCCATTGCTCTAACCTCAACTTCACTGATTCTGCTTTCTGTCATCTCCACTCTAGTATTAAGCTCATCCCATTAGTGTTATTTCTCAGTTTTATAAATCTATGTGTTTTTAAAACAACATTGAGATTGTCTATGTTTTCTTTTCTTCCTTTTTTAAATTTGGTACCAGGGATCGAAATTGGGACCTTCAGCTTGTGAGGCAGGCGCTGGAACCACTGAGTTAAATCCCCAGCCCTTCTATGTTTTCACTTGCTTCAAGATTTTTTGGATAATTACTTGTTGAATCTTTTAAAATATCTGTCTCATGTGTGTAGAAATCAGATGATAATCTTTCTCATTCAAGCTGTGATTTTCTTGTCTTTTTCTGATGAGTGAATCTTATTGTATTAGGTATTTTGACTCTGGGTTCTAATTAAATCTTTTATTTTGATAGGGAGTCACCGTGCTCAGATTTATCAAGGCCCTAGCCTGTGTTTATGGGTGTCCAATGACAATCTAGTTTTCTGAGGCTTTATGGTACTATTTTGGTCTGCATAGTTTGTCTCCCACTTCTGAGGCACCACAGTCCTTGTTGATGGTAGCTGAGGAGCTGAAAGGGGACCCAAAGTACTTTCTCAGCCCATTGTGGCAGAATCTCCCTCCCTAATTCCCTCTATGAAGTGAAGTTGGCCAGAAGGAGAGAGGAGTTTCAAGCTAGTGAGAAAGGAAAGCACTTCCTGTGGCCCATTACTGTTGGGGCTATTTTCCCGAAGCACCTCTTGCTGTTTCTGTGAGTTTGTCTAGTGTTGTCAGGATTCATTCTTACAAATTGAAGGAAGAATAAGGCTACCTAGATGTGTTCTGTTGCTAGATTGGATGTTGGGAAAGGGGGTCCTGGGTTATCTTCTGATGTATGAGGTTGAAGAAGTCATAAGATGAACTGCTTTTGGAGACCAGGGATTTGGCTCAGTGGTTTCACTGCCTGCTGCACAAGCACAAGGACCCAAGTTCAATCCCCGGTACCAAAAACAAAACAAAACAAAAAAAGATGAGCTGCTTCTGTATTGTGCTTTTGGTTCTGAGGTTCCTAACCAATTGACCTTCCTCTTTCTAACTTGCAACTTCTCTTTTGGTGGTCTCTTTTGTTATTTCCAAAGATTTTAATCATGCCTAGCAGGGAAGAGAAGGAAGAAACAAATCTATGCCATCTTGCCCAGACTGGAAGTTCTCTATGTATGCTCACATAAGCATAAAACCTTTTAGGTGGATACCCAAAGAATTAAGACTATTTCCCCAGAGGAAGTAACTAGAGGGATAAGAGGTAAGAGGAAGATTTTTTTTGTCAATGTCTTTATATGTTCTCATTTTTGTAAAGTAAATATAAAAATAAAATGTACAAGAAGTAGTCTTCTAACTCAACCTTGTTTCCCAGAAGACAACCAAAGATTGTAACAGAGGTCAAGCAGCTTATGGATTCAACAGTTGGTAATTTTATTAAATTTCACGGAGTTTTAATTTCACTATGTTGTCACTGCTGTGATCCAGATCCGTGAATATAAGAATAATATTCTCAGTGGATTTGAAGCTTGCTCATACATTTTGAATAACTTGTAGAATACAAATGGGCAATTTAGATAGAAGTAGATGCTTTTGGCAGCATACTAGTACCCTAATCAGCTGAAAAAATAATATTTGTGTGACATTAAAACAAAATTAATAGCAAGACACTGATTACATGAAAAGACTTTATGTTGTAATTATTAAACTTGCAAATAACTCAGCATAATTAATGACTTAATTAGGATATGACCTGAAATTTTAGCTTCCAAAATTAATAAAGGGAAATAAAAATCCCGTTTGTAAAGTGAAGTGTTTGAAGAATCACAAGGTACTGTGATACAACTTTTTTCTCCTTATTTGGGGAACATTTTTGGCAGTATTAAGCTTACAATGTAGTCGCTTTCATTCATTCTCATGCCAAAGCCCTAGCATAATAACTCAGCCTGAAGAGTCCAGGATAGTGACCTTCAGACAAGAATGTCCACCAAAAGGGAGCTGGACTTCTCCTAGCCAACCTCCTTCTGGATAGCTCTAGGGCAAAATGAAACAAAAAGACTTCTCTTTCCCTATCACTTAAGTGAAATATAAACTAGAGGATCAATATCAGAATCCACCATTTTCACAGAACTATTTGGATCCAAATTTCAATTTATACTACTGTCATTTATTCTTCAATACAAGCTTCTTGAAAGCATTTCAGGTTTCAGAGTTTACCACATGGTGAAGCCCAATACAAGGCCAAAGGATTTTCCATTATGTAGTAGATAACAATGGATAATTCAGTAAATATTTGTGGGCTAGAGATTTGGAAAAAATAAACTGGGATTTCTACCTCATTTTTTAGATTAAAAAAAACTCCAAATGGACCAAAGATTTAGTGTAAAGTCAAAATTATAAATGTTGTAGGTAGAGATTAGTATTCTATGACATGATAATTGGGCAAGGCTTTTTAACTATGATAGGTAAAATAGAAGCTATAAAGAAAATGACTAACAAATTTGTCTGTTAAAAAATTTTAGATGTCCATATACTAAAAAACTAATGAATTAAAAAAAGGAACAAATCAAGATGAAATAAAAAAGTAATATTAAAATTATATTTTGATTCACCTTTTCCCTACAAGGGGCTAGCTTTATTCTTCAATAAGGAAATAATTGGAAATATCCATTATGATTTATATACAAGGATATTAAGTACAGGGAAAAATTAAAGGAACTTATATGTTAAATGATAGCTTTTAAAATGATGCAACAAATTAGAGAATAATCATAGGCTATAGCCATTAAACATCAGAATAACATCAAGATATTTTCATTATTGAGCTTATAAAAAGATAGTTGGAGAATACAGATGAATTCAATTTCAATTTTAAATATCTAGACAAAAAAATGAAAGAAATAAAATATCAGTGGTAATTATTTCTAAGGTAGAATTATGAATAAATGTTACTATTTTTGTTGTTGGTAATTTGCAAATTTTCTCCAATAAACAAATTTTTTGTAACACACACATATATATGTTTTTATTCCTTGGAGCATTAAATAAAAGGTTATTTCAATTTTTCCCCAGTGTAGTTAACTTAGTATTAGATCAGATACAAAAGATTAAACTTGAGGGCTTAAACGGTATAGTTTATAAGACAATAATTATGATAAATCTTTTTTATCAAAGAAAGAAAAGAGGGAGGAAGAAAAGGAAGGAGAGAAAAGAGCCTTCTACTGTATTTAGAGATGTATCACATGGGTTAAATTACAGCTATTGGTTGTAGTTTATCTTCCCTCCCTCCCTCCCTCCCTCCCTCTCCTTTCCCTCCAGTCTCTCTGTCTAGCCTAAAATACTTGGTGCCCTTTTCTAAGATTTGGTATCACTAGATAATTCTTTTGTACAACCATTATTGTTTACTCTGAACTGCTTATGTTGCAGAGTAGGGAACATGGGGACCAAAAAAGGATTGCTTGATCTTGGCAAGTAGTTTATGCCTCTAACTGGAGCTATTTGCCAGTCACAAAATAACTACCACTAGTAGCATAGGAAATATCACTACTGAACCTCATTTTGTACCTGTAGGTTTTCTTAATCTCTTCATTTGATGCTCCCTTATGCAGACCAAGAATTTCATATAGAGCTTCTCCAGCTGTTGACATAGACCGCTGTCTTTGGTTAGGTAGGTTACATGCCATTTTCATAGGCTGTAAAACCAAAGGGAAAAGTAGCCATTAAGGTTATGCACACTGAATTCCACTTGCTAAAGGAGAAGGTTGGTCCATTTTTAATCTTTTTAAGAATGACAGTGTGAAGTATATTTGTGTGTTGCTGCAAAATAAAGGGAGAAAACTGTTAAGAGAGCCAAAGCAGAACTTCCAGTCAGGGCATCAAAGGATATAGGCAGACACACAAATGGAATATGGCTTCATCCATATGGTTAAATTGAAGAATGGTATCTCAACACCGGGCTAACTCAGAAGTGTTAAGAATCAATCCTCAAAATTTAAGCAAATTTAAGTATTTTATTTTACTTTGGATACAATTTGCATAACTTCTTCTTCTTCTTTTTTTTTAAAATATATTTTCCAAATTTAGCCATCAATTTTATTCCAACTCTATTGGTCTAGCCAGGGAGCAAGAGTTAAAAAAAAAAAAACCTCACACAAAAAACCTCTTTTTAAAAAAAATAATCAGGAAAACATTTCTGATCTCATCTGGGACTTAGATTAGAGCTTCTCTGCAGCTGTCAAGTCCCAGACTTCCCCCCTCCACCCCACATTACTCCTGGGTTCTGCTCCTGAGAGGGCTCCTCTTCCTACTATCTATTCAGAAAGGGCTGAGCTATTGGAGGTCCCCAGGAGCCATTTGTCTGCTGTATTATGGCTCTGGAGGCCTCAGAGACACAAGCACACCTAGTGAGTATTCCTAATTAGTACTCTCTTTTTTTTCTTTCTTAAATTCTTTTATTGGTACATTTTAGGTATACAATACATTTAGATTTATCTTTGGGAACTTGTAACTTTACATAATGTATCTTGGTTCTTATTTTTTTCCCATTCTCCTGCCCTCCCAGTACTATTATTGTTATTATTTATGTATTTTACTTTATTTTATTTTTTTGGTACCAGGGATTGAATTCAGGACCTTGCGCTTGTGAGGCAGGCAGCGGCACCACTGAGCTAAATCCCCAGCCCCATTTAGGGGGTATTCCTATATCTGCCATTTAACATTAATATCTTCACCTAAGTATAGGGATAATACCCCACATAAGATTATCTTAAGGTTTTAGAAATAATGCACATAATATATACAGGACATAATAAGCTCAAAGAAAAAAGGCAATTATTTTTACAGAAGGCAGCATAATGTGCCATTTAGAGCATGCACTGTCATCATACAGGTTACAGATGTGGTCAAAAGATGTGATATTTCAGTTAAATAGGAAGAATACATTCAGAAAAGCTCCTATAAAGCACGATGACTATAGTTAATCATCATGCATTGTAGTCCTGATAATTCAAGAAAGTAGATTTTAGATTTCTCTTCAAAAAAAGGGAAGTATGTGAGATAATGCATATGTTAGCTTGATTTAGCCATTCTACATGTATACTTATGTCAAAATATATTTGCAGATTATAAATATATACAATTTTATCAATTTAAATAATTAAATTGCATCAACATCATAATTAAGATTCTATAAAATGAGAGGTTACCTAGGCATTTTAACAAGTGCCTTTTGAGTCATTTTGGCCAGAAATCATTGTAGTAGATAATCTTCCAATTAGCCAATTAGTTCTCCTTTATCTGAGGAGTACATAGGTCTTCATGGCAACATAGGCTTTTTTTTTTGCAGTGCTAGTTATCAAACCCAAGATCCCACACTGAGGTACATTCCTAGTCCTTTTGAAATTTTATTTTGAGATAAGGTCCCTCCTCCTTCAGCCTCCCGAGTACAAGAATTACAGATGTGTGCCAACACCATAGCACAACACATGCTTTCCCTAAGAACTGCTTCATTTTCACATGATCTTTACTGAGTAGTCCAGGAGTGACCCAGAGCAGACAAATAAGAATTCTTTGCTAGATTATTTGTATATCAGACAAACTCTCAGATAGGGAAGCTGTAAAATGTGAAATCTAGGTATTATTGGCTTCTCTGAAATGAAACAAATTGAAATTACCTGCGGAAGAGGAGCAGTGGCAAGAGTTAGATGGAGCCCGTGAGCCTCAGTGAAGCTCAGTCTTCTGACTCCAGTTGTTCCCAGGTCTAGTTGCAACTGTTCCCTCCAACAATATGCCAGTTGATCCTTTCCTGTATTGTGCTAGAAAAATTCCTCTCTATACACAGGTTTACACGTTTTTCTTTTGATTCTGTGTTAACTAGGTTGTGGTCACTGTCAACCATGAGTCCTAAGTGCCACATACCCTTCTCAATTAAACATCTGGTAGTTTCCTGAGCACCTCTTACCGGGATACTACATTGTGGATTTTTTTCTTAAATCTCTGTATCTATTCTTTCTTTGAACTGTTACCCTTTTTTTTTGGTACCAGGGATCAAACTCGGGTCCTTGCGCTTGCGAGGCAGGCGGCAGAACCACTGAGCTAAATCCCCGGCCCCTTCTTTCTTTGAACTGAATGTAGCTTCCAGGTGCTTAAAAAAGAATACTTTGGAAAAATAAGCAAGATATACTAAGATATTCAAACCAAACAGATCCAGCTGTATTGTGTAGGCATTACTAATAGAAAAAGAGGAACATTAATCAATCTGGGTTAAAAAAAAGTATGTGGAGAATAATTCAAGAGATGAAGGAGGGAAAAAGTACAGTAAATAGTTATCTTTGTTTCAGTGACTTTTTCCCCCATATTTTCAACATCTAAAAGAAATAGCTTCAATTTGAATATAAAAATAATTCATTGTTCATCATCTGTCTCATGAAGTAAGAGAGATGCCATAACTCCCATAAATTGATAGTCCTAGAATACATTTTAACAAAGCACAGAGATGCACAGTTTCCATGATTATGGGTATTGCACTCCCTGACCAGCTATAATTCTTTCCTTCTCAGATAATGCTGTCACTAATCTAGGAAAAAGATGTACAAGTTACTGAAAAAAATCTGCCAAACATTATAATACTTACAAAAGATAATTCAAAGACTGCTGTGGGCCAGGCCTTTGGGGAGGTTGCAAAATAATATTTGCTATAAAAGAATAAAGCAATTATGAAACTAGTGTTTGGGGTTAGGGAAGTACCAAGTATAGAGGTCAAACAAAACAAGAAGGAATGGTCTGGAGGATGAGGATTCTGCTTGGGAATTGTGCCACTGGAGGTCTAGCACTGTGCCTGGCACATATTAGGTCCTTGGTAAGTATCTATTGGGTGACTCAAGAACAAATGCTAAACTTGTGTGGGAATCCAAGCGACAGAATCACAGAAAAAAGTGAAGCCTGAGCTGCTAATAATACTGCCACTTGTTTCCATAGAACTTGGTACATATTTTTCTATTATAGCCCTTATATTCAAGCCTAACTTTGGATCCATATGGACTTGGTGAACAGTGACCCTCTCAGCTATCTACTTAGATGCTGCTACCCTCTAGTCCCAGGCCTGATGAAAGACTATCCCATCAGGTTTCCCAGTGTTATTTCTGAAAGCATTTGCAATATTCGTGGGGATTCTCAGAAATGTTTAGACATTGGAGGCTTCAGAGTCACAATGTAAGAAAGGCTTAGCACCCCAAAGGGGCAATAAGGTAGAGGGCAGTTTAAGAATATCTACATATACTTTGGTGGGATTAAGAAAACATCAGTGTTCTAAATAGAAGATGGGGGTGAGGTGGACTAATGCTAACGAAGATGATGGGGTAAAGGATAGACACTCAAGCTAGCCCCTCTCTGCAAGTCTCCCTTATCTTTGGCACATCTCTAGGAGAATTTTGCAGGGAGTGGGAACTTGTAGTTGTACAGCTGAGATCTACCAGCAGAGCCACATTTATTCCCACAGCTGTGGGCTTAGAAACAAGAGGAATATTATCCTCAACAAAACTTCATTGTTTGGTCCCATGACTCTTTCACCATCATACTCTGGCTCCTTAGTGGCTGCAACTCTGTAAGACCTGAGGAACCTGTTAACTGTATACAAGATATGATTGAAAAATGTGGTAAATGTTTAAATTTTTAAAAAATTATTACAGTAAAAGACACATTGTCACTAATATTCCTTGCTTTTAATACATTTATCCTGTCACTTTTGCCATTTCTGAAGCAGTTATGGAAGTCCTTTACTTCTGAGTTCTTTTTAGTTGTGCTGTCATGGATATCTCAATATCCTGAATTAATTCAGAAAATTTACCTTTCATGGTCATTTTGACTTTGGGAAGAGCTGGAAGTCACACAGTGCCAAATCCTGTGAATACAGTTGATGAGGACACTCTGCAATATTTTTATGAGCCTGCCTTTCAGCTGGATAGCAGCAGTATTCACAGTATTTTTGATTATACCATGGAAAGACATGAAAGAAAACTTTCAGAATTGCTTCAGAAAGTGGCTAGAATGATAGAAGTGTGTTTACAGCAAGGGGGAGTATTTTGAGGGGAGATGATTGCAATGTGTCTTAATAAATTTTAAAGTTTAAACATGTTCACTATATATTTTGATCACACCTCATAAATGTCACTGACAGTTATTATTTTTGCATTGTCATTCAAAAGAGTGCTTAGGTATGGACACGAATAGAAAACAAATTCAGAGGTAAATACTGGCTGGGCCATTTAAACACTGCTGAGGGTGAAAAGAGCCTAAAGATTCAAGTTCCATTGGCTAGGCAGTTCTGCCTGACAGAAACCCATCCAGTTATTTCATCTTGATGTTCTTAAACATTTGACCCATCTAACTCCAGGCTCATCAACCCACCTTATAATTACGACTTGGCATCCTATGTAGATCTTCACTGAGGAAGAGAATAGACTGACCATATGCATTTGGTTCTTTGCACTGGCCCACATGACAATTATGTCTCATTGGGTGAATAAATTGGTATTTAGATGATTTGCCTTTTCCTGAGGTCTGCCCACAAGGAGGGCATAGATTGGTTATGTTGACACAAGTAATCTGATCCCCAGGATAACCATTTCCCTTCACAAAATGTATAAACAAAATATACAAACAAAAATATAAATAAAACATGATTATTCGAAGTCTG